TGAATTTTATGACATTTACTGCACAATTTATTTCTAAACAAACTGATGCTTTTTGAAGTGGCTGAAAGAGCGGCTGGTACTATCATCCATATTTTTAAACCACAGTATATTTTTATAGAAGCATAAGATTTAGAATAATCATTTATATAAAAGTCAAATTATGATATAAACATACAACCCTCTAGAGACTGAATTAGTGGAAGTTCAGTGTTTATGTAGAAATGATCTGCAGCTACTTAATGGTTGGATAAGTCAGGCAGCTTCTGTGGACAAGTAAGAATAATTATATAAACGACACCACAACATTCTGGATTCAATTAACAAGGAGGATACGATGTTTATTAATGAATTCAAGAAGTTTTAAAACATAAAAATCAACTCATTTTTTATCCTAAAATGTATTTTTGTGCGTAGCGTATTTTCATTATTCTACTTTAAAATTCTAATAATTCTTAAAATTCTAATTTAGAATGTAATTGTCAAGAACTGGTTCCTAATCATCAGTAATATAATAAGTAATTATTACGGTTATTAATAAATCCTTCTTATAAAGTAATTGCAAATATTTCAAAATACTTTCTGTCTGAATGCAAATATTTTTAATTTTATATTAATCAAGATTGCACACAATATTATTTATTTGCACTTCAATTCTTAACGTCAGTTCTGGTAGAAGTTACAAATCAATTATATTTAATTAAGGATTGGACTGGATTGGATTGGATTATTTAATTATGGCAAAGCACACGAGGGCTATCTGCCTAAAGGGAGAGATGCCTTCGTGGAGGACTTTCTAAGGGAAACTGGCTCGTATACACGTCACACATCGGGAAAACCACGAAAACACCCATGCAACCAGCCTGTTCGCGGGATTCGAACCTCGGACCGAACTACCAATGATCAGCGTCTTTACCGCTCGGCCGTTTGTGGGCCTTTATGAAATGGAAGGCGATAACTTTATTTAAAATGATTGTCAGAAATACCAAAATGTTTCTAAAAGTTGGATACTTTTTAATATACTTTCAGAATGCTTAAAGAAAAAGAGAAGAAAATAAAATTTTTCGTAAAAAATTTAGTATTTGTATTTTTTTTAATTTAAAACTTTTCAGTGTTATAATATTTGATTCTTGCGATTTCAAAAATAAAATATTTGACTAAATATGAATAACATTTTAAGAAACCAAATGTAGGATAAAATTGTGTAAAGCAATGGGCACAATGATAAAACTGTTTAAGCAATGTATGCAGTCATCCTAAGTTAAAATGTTGGTTATACATCTCTCTTATTTATATATATCTTTTCTGAACGGAACATTGAAGGGGTGTAAAACTGTGCTTTACTTTTTTCTCTTTTAATATAGCATGCAGTTTTCAATCTCATCGTAGTCTGGGTTACAAAGTATTCTTCCGAAAGAAACGCAGTTCAAATAAATAAATCAAATTCTGGAAAATTGATATTAATAAATATATTTAAAATGCTCAGTTCGGAGGAATAAATAGGAATTTAAACAATTATCTGAAGAGACAATGCAACACAAACGATTTAAATAAAAGTATAAAATTTAAAAATTACCTAAAATAAAACTATGACGAAAAAATATATATAAAGAAAACTATTTGAAAAAAAAATAAACGCTGCAACTTTATTACGCAGTTCGAATAGGTAAATAGAAATTTTTAAAACAGTTATTCGAAAAAAAAAAAAAAAAAAGTGCAACTTAAACAATTAAAATGAAAATTCGAAAAAGAAAAATTACTTAAAATAATAAGTTATAATTAAAAATAATATAAAGAATATTATTTGGAAAAAGGAACGACGGTGACTTTTTTCCTCTCACGGGAAAGGAAACTAGGTTGCCATATATTAAGAAATTCGCCAAGTGAAGTTTCTTGGCGCAAACTGACAAAAAAGTGGCAACATAAATTTGTGAATTTCTCCGTAAATTTCGCTCCAAATTTTACAAAATTTCATATTTAGGCGTAATTTGAGTCGTAGAATCGAAATATGTAAAAAAAAATTGGTATGTATTTCAGAAAAAGTCCGATTTTGTGTCAAAATACCTATGTTAGAATAGTGCTATATATAAATCTAATATATATCTAAGTCGCGCTTTCGAGACATGAAGACGCAATTTGAATTTTGTCAATCGGCCCAGTAGATCGGGACATATAGGACTTTTTTTTTTTTTTTTTTGAGCAGTGTACATGTGACGATTATCACTGACGAAAAACATTTGCAAAGAAAAGCATTGTTAAGGACCAGTGACAACACAAGAGAGGAGAGCGAAAAAAACTTTTATTGGGATTACAAGTTTCAACGTGCCCATCTTCACAGACATCAACGCACTGCATGCAGGAGATTCTCGACAACACAGATGAATCTCAAGAGGAATCTGTATTTCATGTTTTACAGCATCTTTGATTCTGACAATCTCGTGAATTTGGTATGTATACCTTAAATTTCAGATAACACAGAGCCAGAATCAGTCGGTGTGAGGTTGAGGGATCGCGATGCCCATGAAATTGCAAGGTTACGGCAGATGATTCTGCCTTCGGCAAGTGCTGCAACAACGCTTGCCTAACACATATGACGACGTGCGGAGGAGCATAATCTTGCATCCATGCAATGTCATTAACGATGTTTCGCTGCTGCAATTCTGCAGCATTGTTGCATACCGAGCACTCGTGGTAGGGCATGTTCTCATACCCGTGGAAAAGAACTTTCCGAAGACGTACGGACCGAGAACGAATGTGCTTGCGATGCCGCACCACACAGTCACTTTAGCTTCATGTAAAGGCCTGGTGTCACATAGTGAGGATTTTCGTCAGCCCAGTGAATGCAGTTCTTGGAATTTGCACCTCATTCCTCCATAATATTGTTACAAAATGTCCAGCCGCAGTAAGATAGCTTCCCCGCAAAGCGGTTTTTGGGGTTGCTAGAAAATGGCAAGGGAAGGTAGGGTTGCCATATTTAATCACCCATTTAGCGACATATGGAGACAAAATTGGTGGTATGCCATAGGTGGAGGGAGAATCTCCTAGAATTGTTGGTTACCTTCTAGAATAGTTACCGGTTTGGACCAGAATGTTCTCGAAGGTAGCCCGAAAGCTATATAAACCCTGCCTGCACACGGAGTGAGTGAGTCAGTCAGTCAGTCAATGTCTCGTCTAGCAAATTGATCGTCAGTCTAGTGCCGAGAGAGTCTCTTGGTGTATCGCGAGTTACTGCATCGCCGAGTTTTATCCTAGAGTTTGTTGAGCTCCGAGAACGACCGAACCCAGTCGGGAGCTGTACTCTAGTATATCGTCGAGTGCATCGCGAGTTGTAGCGTGGAGAGTCTCGAGAGTACGTAGAGCTCCGAGAACGACTGAACCGAGTCGGGAGCTGTGCTCTGGTGCTTTGCCGTGAAGCTATCTCCTCCGCTATAGCCTGATAGCCGGAATGCTGTGTCGCTGATTATTTCAGCGTGCTTGTCGTAGTTTCCGACAACTGTAAACGTGTTTTTGAAGCTGTCCTAAGTAATATTGGCTAAGTAAATTGTGTCTGATTCTTCATCAAGCGTTGCGACCAATCACTTTAAATCTACGAACCCGTATAAAAACGCAGCAATATCCTCAGCGACCGCCTGCTATTTTCCTTATATCTGACAATGAAAAAATTCATGAAGTCGACACGCTGTTGCTCATCTCCTGGTTGCAACATCTGGACGCGCTGAAATCGATAAGAAAACATACGCAAAACAGAGCGCAGAATCTTGAGGACTGTGGTTTTCAGTACATACAAAAACTGCGGGCAACACTTTTTGCAGTATGCAATGAGCCTGCAGTAATCGTATTATGCACTTCCGTAACAACTTCAAAATGAACATATAGTCGTGCGGATCGCGATATATTACATGTGCTCATTTAGCGACCACACACCTTTTTACCAAATTCACATGTTTTTGCCAAATCACGTACAGTTTTTACGGAATATGGGCTTTGTCTTAGCTTATGATTTCGCAGACAAACTCGCACTGTTTCGGTAGCATTTTCCCCGTTGAAATTTCTCCCCCGTTACATATCTGTCAGAAAATAAGCTAACAAGGCTTCGTTGCTTGTTTTTAGTTGTTTTTATTGCCATATATACATATTATATATGCGGAATTCATAACAAAGGTTTTAGAACAGGATCATTAATTTTATGTTTGAAGAAACGATTGTGTTCGTCTATGTCTCTGTGTGCGTGCTTCTTTTAAATGCAGAATTTGGAAAGGTAAAATATTCAATAAATTGCCTTCGGATTTCACTTTTCATTACTATAGTCAATACAAAAACGACATTACACGAAACTACCATTTACTCAAAAAAAAAAAAAAAAAATGCTTTTTTTGCCATTGTTAAATACAAAAACGATAATTTGTAAAACTAATACTCGGTTCCTTCATTAAAAAATATTTTTATTGCCATTTTCAGTACAACAATGGTATTTACCTACGATTATAAGCCATTATTTATCCAGCTATTGAAAACAACAATTGTTTACAGCGTCATATAAATCAATAAAGCAGTTTATCTGAGATCTAAGTTCAAATTAAGAACTTTATACGATTTTGACAAATAACTGATAACTGATATCTCAAGTATTAATTTCTTCAAATGTCTATTTTTCCCGAATGAGGGCTTTTTGAATATTTTTTAGAATTACTGCAGATAATCGCTTTTAACAACATGGCATTATAGCGATTCCTAATTTAAATAACTTCCGAAAGTTTAAACAAAAATAGTTTAAAAATCTCAGATTTATTTTTTGCTTTAACTCGCTTCTTTGCCTATTTTAAATATTTCGCAATCAAAGAGAAGGTCATGTTTATAAAATCCCATACCTTCTGCTTTTTAATATTAGCGAATAAGTGTTTAGCAATCGAGTAAAAAACAAAAATAGAACGGAGGCGCTATTCAGGTTTTATCTTCTTTATTTTGCCCAGTCTTCCAATAAGAAGCTCCTTTGTCTCCTCCTTCGAAGTCCAGCTTTCAGAACATGAGTTTTAAAGTGAATATTTTGCATAATTTTAAAATAGTTTGAGACATTATTCTGTAGCAGTCATAACAGTTACATTTTAATGTGCTTCACTAAGCCTATTATTCCACTTTTCAGTGTTGCTGCTAGATGATAGCGCAACAGTAGGTAAGATAGTTTAGATTTTGTACCAGTTGTAAATAAAATGCTTTAATTTTAATTCTGAATTTCAAATAAAGCATTCAGCTGTTAATATTATTGAAGCCTAACCATTAGTTAACCTCTTTTGTCCCTTAGATGATTTCTCCTTTGTAATGCGTTTTTCAAAAAATGACTAATTTTGAAGACTCATCCAACTGATCTAAATAAAATGTCTCAATTTTATCTTCCACATCCAATTTACTGTAAAAAATTTCATAGCCTTGAATAAAGCCATATTCATAGCCTTATTGGGAGCTGCATGGAAAAGGAACATTTCTTGAAGTCCACAGAGCTAAAGCAAAATACAGTGCTTATGGTTCATTAGGCCTTATTATGTATATATTCTTCGGGATTAAATGGAACAACTACATAGACCACTAAAAGGAAAACTGCAATCTTAATTGGATGGAGTTAGCCGCCTAAAATTACATTAGCAAGGAAAAGTTCAAAAACCGATATTACATATGTAGAACTAATAGGTTATTCGGAGTAATAGACATAAAAAATCAGCTGCGTCCTTACTAAGATTCAATCCACGTGTATTCCGATTGCTAATTAGACATTCCTTTATATATTTGTCACGCTTTTACAATAAAAATTGTAGAATGTTTTATCCCAGTTTTGGAAACAATCTGTGTAAAAGCCATGAGAAAGTTTTTGATTCAGATAAAATAGGGCAAAAAAAATTCAGTAAAAATACACAGCAAAATCTGTTTATTTAGCAAGAAAATTTATTCATTTGTACTGTTCCTGTAAAAGAAATATACTTAGGGAAAAAGTTTAGAATAAATAAATAATATTGTTTGAAAGAAATATTATGTCGGGAGGAAAAGGTTTTATTTCATTCCCATCCCACTGAAGATGGTTTATTTAACAAAAATGTTTTCTTAATGCAAACATTATCTTTATTAAAGATTTATCTTTTAAATTTTTATCTTTACTGGCATATCTTTATTAAATCAATTTCTAATTCCCTAATAAAGAAATCGCAGCGAAAGATACTTTTGAAATTTTTTAGACTAAATTTGGCACAAAAAGCTAATGTAATTAAGAGTTATTATCTTTTGTATATATGAGATATGAAATACTTCTTAGGGGCTGTATTATGGCGTTTTTCAAATCAAAGTTAATACTTTAATACTAAAACCCTGCAAGTGATACATATTTCATTCATTTAGAATAATGTTCCGCTTCGTCTAGAATCGATTGTTTGCAGCTGAAATAAGAAATCATAAAGTGCGAAAGAGGTTACCACTTCTAGGTTCAAATGTTTGACATCATGTAACCCAGCTACCCAGCAAAGTTTTGATATTCGAGTAATGATTGAAAACTTATACTCTGTGCTACGAAACAACAATTGACAAAAAAAAGAAAAGTAATTAGCTATGTTATCTTATTGTGTACTTTATATATGTCTAGCTGTATGTGGATTGTAGAATCATTAAGAGCTTCATATGAAGTTTATTAATATTTTAATGACCTTAATGATTAACACTTGATTCATAATTTTTAAATCAAGTGTTGTCTTATAGATTAAAGGCAGTAGTAATTAGGAATCCGAATTTAAAGATAGAATAATAACGCTTTATAATGTTGTTACTATTGTTGATTTTATTGCAAGGTTATCGACTTTAATGGTAATTATTTCTGCTTTGACTTTTGCAGAAGCATCACTAGAAAGATAAATAAATTGAGAATCTAAAAGTGACGTCTTTTTTAACAGATTAACCATAAGCTTATAAGTTTAACTAAGCACCATTTATTTATTTTAAATTTTGTGCCTCTTTTTTTTTATTTGCTTTCCAGCTTAACCCTGTCCAGAAGTAAACATATTGATTGATTATTTGAGAAGTTAAAACTAGTGTTGAAATAAAGAAGTACAGAAGTATGATTCTTTGTTGATGCCTTCTGTGTGGAATGTCTGTGACCACTTCTTCCGTCCTTGCGCTCGTCTGGCCGTAGATTCAATGAATAATCAAACAGTACAGTTGACAATGCACCTGTAGCAGTAAGTTATTTCAACTTTACTTATCATTAGAAGACGAAATAGGTGAAAGAACTTTGGTTTAAGCAGCCTCTCCTTTAATTGAAATCCCAAGGCATTTAGGCTTACGTTATTGCCACTCAAGTTACTGTTCTAATGCTTGAGCGCTTCGGTAGATCTTTAGTTAAAGTTCCGTTTTGTGCTATTCTCTGAACTGCAAAATCTCTTAAATATATCAGTTTGGCTTCACTTGGATTTGTATTATTTCCGTTAGCGAACAGTAAGGGCGATAAATTGCGAACAAAAGCGTAATCTGGTATGTTGCTAAGTGCCTTACTAAGTTAAAATAAATTACGCTAGGACACCGCACGGTTAGCAAATCACTTGAGAACACCGAAGAATTTAGAGATCTCAGATTAAAGTTCTGGTTTATCCCATGGTAATACAGTCTGTTGCATATAATCACGCAGTCACAAAATATTTTACGAGTAGAATTCTACCATTAGAACATTTCTTTTAGTAAGATATTTTGTCATACCTTCAAATCTAGTGCAAAAGAAAGTTAATTTTCGGATTTTAGATATCTAGATTTTCAGTTATCTACGTTGCTTTTTCTTTCTAGGCCATATAAGATTAAGCTTAATGCAATTTAACGCAATTTAAATTTATTAATATACATTTAAATATTTCTGTTAATTTAAATAATATAAAACTAAGAGTACAATACATACTTTAAAAAATAGTTCAAATAATTTAAATAAATGTGCAGTTCATGAGTTATATTTTTATGTTAGGTTACGGTTAGGTTAGGTTATTTGGATTATGGCAATGTGTTTTAGACAAATGAAAATTAATTCAAGTGTTTGATTCTGTCGAAAAAGTCACGGTATTTCGCATTTTGTATGCTAAGGAAAGAAAAATCATTTTGTTTTTATTCAACAGCCTGACCGCCCATCTCGTCTAGTGGTTAGTGACGCTGACTGCTGTAGGAATGAGCCCGGGTTCGAATCGCGGTAAAGACATGGATGTTTGTGTAAGCGGGGTAAAGTAGCAGACCTGTTCGTGGTGCACTTTGGTTAACGCTAAATCTGCTCTCCTCGTTCGTCTAGTGATCAGAGGGTCAATGGCCTGACATTTTTTTTTTTTTAATTTAGCAATATAATTTATCATTGAAATAAAATAGGATAAACAAATAAATAAATAAAATTACATTGACTACACATTTAACTTGCAGAAAATAAGCATTTCCCCAAAATCTGCTTTGCGAACTTTGGTATTGACTGAAATCCTAATTAATTTGGATATCTGGAGCTAGGCAAAACAATACACATACATACCAGCTAATTTTTCTTTAAATATACAGTTATATTTTAAGCAACGTAGGTCTGAACTGCTCGCATTCATTCATAAGAAATTTTTTTCTCAGTAAGCACAGGAAATTTATTAGATTAGATTATGGCAAAACACACTTCGGCTTCTGTCTAATGATAAAGATACCTTCATGGGAAACCGATTCGTATTCAAATTACACTTGAAGAACCCACGAAACGCCTATGTGGTTAGTGATTTTCGCCGATGCATATTTGTCCGAGGTGACAATACACCAAGGAAAGCTTTTTTCGACAACCAGCTGTCTTAATTTTCCATCATTTCCCAATTTCCATAAATTTGGTTTTAATTTCAATATTTTTTAATAATCAACAGCCAAACATTGTAATTTATGTTAACTAATGCTTTTGTACAAATTTCGATTAATATAATTTTTCATCAAAGTATCAGACATTTTATTTCTGTCCTTATTCTTTGATTTTGATGACTAGGTAGAAACTGGCTGGTTGGTTAACAGGTTAAACCAAAGCATGTAAAAGCTGTTATACACTGGTCATCAAAATTAAAGGATAATGACAGAAATAAAACGTAATTGATACTTAATGAAAAAATATTAATAGAAATTGGCACAAAAGCATTAATTAACATAAATTACAATGTTTGGCAGTTGATTATTCAAAAAATATTTAAATGAAAATCAAATCTTTGCAAATTGAAAAATGATGAAAACATTAAGTCACCTTGTAAGGATCCTAAGTTTTACTAACGTTTATTTTATTTTAAATCTTTACTATCACTTTTTATTTTCTACTTCCGGCCAGAATTAAAAGCTTTAACTTATTTATGCAAATTTGTCTGGCTAACGTCAAGTACTTAAGTTGTGGCTTTTTGCCAAGCGAGAGAGAGGAAGGAGTTATTAGAAGCAGGCCGCTTGCCATAGCAGTTTTTTACTCGGTTGCTGGTTGCCTTCAAGGCTAGAGGTTTAGTCCTCTTAATAATTTTAAACGTATCGTAGTTTTAACAGCTCTCTGTACTACATACGAATTTTGTTAAATAACGGCCAATCTTGAAGTTAGGCACTTGTATATTAATCCAAAGTTAGTTTTAGTTATAGTTAGTAGTTTTATATTCTTACGTACAGACCACAAGTGGTTGGTCTCTGGATTCCGAAGTTCCGGAAATCTCTGTAAAGATAGAAAAATAAAGGGTTTCGTATACCTTTCCTGTGTGTATTGTCTACTTCACAGTTTATTGAACATAGCTTGAGTAAGCTCCCTGTTTCGAGTCAGGACAGTTCATGTTTCCAAAGCAAGTAAAGAGGAATACAAGTCCTGATAGTGGCGCCCGACGAAGAAGAATAACCATGGCCGAGTTTCAAGAAGAACCTGTGGCGCCTGCAGAAGGGGCTCAGAATCCAGAAATGTCAGCTGGCACCCTGGAAGGATTTGGGTACATCGTCCAGACCATGCGCGCATCGATGAAACCAGAAGCAACATTCAATGGAAACTCACCGGTAACCAGTTTTTTGGAAAAATTGGATGACCACTTCATGCTGTATCCAGTCCATGAGTTCCAGAAAGCCACCTTAGCTACCAGCGCTTTGAGGGGCCAAGCGCTTAATTGGTTCAAATGTATAGGCGGAAACCTCTTGGGTCAAGCGGGAAGCCCCACCTATACTTACGAAAATTTCAAGACTGCCTTAGTAAAAGCCTTCCCTGTCGTAAGAAATCGTTCAAAATTAGAAGCGGAACTCTTCAGCATATACCAGAAACGAATTGAAAATCTCTCCAGTTTTATTTTAAGAAAACTTCACGTCTTTAAACTCTTGTATGGAAGCCGTCCGGATCCTGAGATAATCCAAGTGATTTTGCCGAGGTTACTTCCCCAAGTACAGGACTTTATTGAATTAAAGAATCCGACTACACTGGAAAAGTTATTTGAGCTAGCAATCCAGTTTGAAAGTAGAAGAACGGCGGACATTGAAAGAAGACGCCAGTATGAGCAACGAAGCCAATTTGGTGCGCCAAGACCACAGCAAAGGCAAGAAGAATCAGTGGGCAAGTAAACCTGAGTATCCAAAAACAACCGGCGAACGTCGACAGTTCAATAGTAAGCCAGATAAAAAAGTCTGAAGGCCAGCGGAAAAAGAAGGAAGGCATGGAAAGGAAGAAAGAAAATTTAAACTAAAGCGGATTTCTGCTGACGGGAGGGTGCGGAAATCCGAAGGCCAAGAAAACCCCTCTTCCTTCAAGTTAAATACAGTTTATTGTGAAAAATTTGACTCTTCCAAAGATTGAAGTTTTGGTGAACAACATCCCAGCCACCGCACTCCTGGATACAGTGTTCCTGTGTGACAGAAGATTTTTTTAGGAAGTATTTCCGTAGATACCGCATATATAATTCGGATAATACGACAGTGTTAGCTGTGCAGGGAGAAAGATGCAAATGCATAGGTAAAATACCATTATATATTCGTATCAAGGACGAGCAAGTAAAGATCATGTTTTTTATCGTAAAAAATTTACAAGCACATGTCATTTTAGGGATAGATTTTCTTTCAGACGCAGAAGCAACGCTGGATTTTAACGAAGTGTCCCTTAAGCTGACGATGAAACCAGTTCGAGAAGAAAAAAGAGAACCACCGACGTTAAATCTCAACCACCTGCCTACGGGAGAGCAACAAAAAATTCGCCAAGTGGTAAGTGAATTTGCTTCGTTATTTAGTGATATTCCCGGATTTACTGAAGTTACTAACCAGAGTATCGACACAGGAGATTCACTGCCAGTTCTCCACAAGGCATATCGATACGACAAGAATAAAGAAAAAATTATAGAGTGGCACATTCGAGGTATGTTACGTAAAAAGATCATAACGCCCATCTCAAGTAGTTATGCTAGCCCGGTTGTGTTATGTAAGAAAAATAATGACCATCCTGTAACACCTCCGAAAAGGTGGCGTTTTGCAATTGACTATCGTAAATTAAACTCCATGGACTAAATATCCGGTATATCCGTTACCTATTATTGAAGAAATTTTAAGGAAACATAAACTTCTACCAAATATATGACTACGTTAGACTTAACGACTGGTTATTTTCAAATAGGGGTTAAACCAGAAGATGTGCCTAAGACTGCTTTTATAACCAAGTCTGGCACTTATGCATTCTTGCGTATGCCGTTTGGCCTTTCAGGGGCACCGGCAACATTTCAGCGATGTATGGACATTGTGCTAAGGCCTGTTCTAGGAAAGACCACATTTATCTATTTAGACGATATCATTATTACTAGTGATAATCTGGACCAACATGTACAGGATTTAAGACAGGTGTTTTCATTATTAAATGAGGCCGGTCTAAAAGTTAATGTCGAAAAGTGCAAATTTGCAGCCCCTGAATTAAAATACTTAGGTTACAAAATATCTCAGAAAGGAATCGAGATGGACGAATCAAAAATAATCGCTGTGCAAAAGTATCCGCCGCCAAATACGGCGAAGAAGCTCTCTTCTTTTCTAGGACTTTGTTCATATTATAGGTCCTTTATAAAAGATTTTGTAGCTATTGCAGAACCATTGTTAAAATTAAAAAGGAAAAAGGCAAGATTCTCGTTAACGGCAGAAGCCAATAGTGCTTTCGAAAAATTAAAGCAAGCATTAACGCAAGCCCCTGTTTTGAAATTTCCTGAAAAACGATGAGAAT